CCTGTTACGACTGGAAGTGACAGCTGACGCTCTTAACCCAAATGGTTTTGCCTACATCTTAAGGTCTGTTGCCCATATAACTTTGGTGTCTTAATCTCTCACCGTTTCCGAGATCTTGCTCAGACAACTTCTCATTTTGAGGACAGGAAAACACGCGACCGGAAGTGAATTTTACAAAGATATTTGACGTTACTCTAGATATATGCAGTCTAAATAACATATTTAAAATTCATTTCAAATACTTTATCTACAAAGGATATTGATGGGAAAGAAAAATATTCAAATTATGTAGTTTTTCTCTTATAACCGGAAGTTGTCGTTTTTATTTCCGGTGGGACCAACATCTTTCGAATCTGAGAAAAAGATGCAATAAAGTGATGCAATTTTTAATTAAAAAAAGAAAAGTTGAAATTTTCGATTTCTTTGATCACTTCCTGTTACGACCGGAAGTGACGGCTGACGCTCTTAACCCAAATGGTTTTGCCTACATCTTAAGGTCTGTTGCCCATATAACTTTGGTGTCTTAATCTCTCACCGTTTCCGAGATCTTGCTCAGACAACTTCTCATTTTGAGGACAGGAAAACACGCGACCGGAAGTGAATTTTACAAAGATATTTGACGTTACTCTAGATATATGCAGTCTAAATAACATATTTAAAATTCATTTCAAATACTTTATCTACAAAGGATATTAATGGGAAAGAAAAATACTCAAATTATGTAGTTTTTCTCTTATAACCGGAAGCTGACGTTTTTGTTTCTGGTGGGACCAACATATTTCGAAACTACAAAAGAGATGCAATAATGTGATGTAAGTATTGATTTAAAAAAAGAAAGTTGAAATTTTACGATTTCTTTGATCACTTCCGTAATCGACCGGAAGTGCCGACGACGAACGAAAATGCAATTCTGCAAATTTAGAAGTCACGTTCTATGCTCTCCAATAAGTCTCCAGTTCATATCATTAGCCATTCTTGAGAAAAAGGGGCGACAAAATTTCATTTTAAAATCAGGAAATTGCCCGTAACTTGGAACCAAAATGGAATTTTCCAAATTTTCCTTGTGATGAACAAAGTTCATACAATGACTGATTTTTCCTGAAAGTTTCATTGAAAACGACTGAATACTTTTCGAGAAATCGCGTGCACAAAATTTTGTCAAAAAAAAGAATAATAATAATAATAATAATAATAATAATAAGAAACAGTAGAATCACTATAAGGTCTTCCGTGAAGACGGAAGACCTTAACTAGAAACTCATTGCGAGCAATGAGAGGTCTTCCGTCCGATTTTGAGAATAAGAACGTAAATTCAAGCTGAAAAGGTGATAAAAGAAATTCAGACACTCTGGAGATTTAACCCTGGTCGTCAGCGTGAAAATTCAACGCGCTAACTATTAACCATTCACTTTTTTGCATCACTTCCTGTCACGACCGGAAGTAACAGCGATACAAGATTTTCTCACGATTCAAATAAACGGATGACTGACTATCAGTCCTGAAAGTTTCAGACTTCAGTCGTTTACTGTTGCCGAGCAATATTGTGAGAACAAATTCTAATTTTGAGGACAGGTAAACAAGCGACTGGAAGTGAATTTTATTAAAAAAAAATCTCTGACGTTTCTGTAGACATTTGCAGTATCTACAAAATACATAAAAAACAGTACTTTATCGATAAGCAATATTTATGACAAAAGTTAAATATCGAAATAACTTAGTTTATCACCTAAAACCGGAAGTTGAAGTTTTAAAACAGCGAAAGAGATACAATAAAGTAATGCAAACTTTAATTTAAAAAAGAAAAGTTAAAATTTTTGATTTCTTTGATGACTTCCTGTGACGACCGGAAGTTTAGACTGATGCGCTTATCCAAAATGGTTTTGCCTACTCCTCAAGGTATGTTATTCATAAAAATTTGGTGTTTTAATCTTTTACCTATTTTTGAGATCTCGCTCAGACAATTTCTCATTTTGATGACAGAAAAACACGCAACAGGAAGTGAAATTTTGAAAGATATTTAAGGTTACCCTAGATAAATTAAAACGAAAAACGCAAAAAATTCAGATATAGTCGGGATTAAACCAAGATCGGCTGCCGGAAAAGAGCTAGGTTCACTTTATGCATAAAATGGACCTGTAGATATACCAATTTATTGACTAACACTTTATGTTCCATTTTAAACATCAAGATAAAGTAGAGACTTAGTGCTTTCATTTCCTATTAAAAATTTTCTCCTTAAAGCCAAGGTCCTGGAAAACAGGCTTCATGGAATTGCAATGTTATTGAATTTTTAGGAAAACAAGTATATTTGAGTACTTTCACAGAAGAGAAATAATTTGAGCGAACCCTCTGATCTAAAAAAATAAAACAGGTTTTCTAATCCTCAGAAAAAGTTCTATCATTTAATAGTTGCATATTTAAGATAAGAGGTTACACTTTATATTAAATATCGAAAAATAGCTTTAAAAATTGGCTGTTTTGTAGAATTTTTCAGGATATGAGGAAAATGACGCATTTCATGACGTCATAATGCATTGGCTAGCCAGAAAATTACGTCTTTTTGATAGATACGCAGTCATCAAAGGTTTAAATGATATTTAATGCATTGTCAACTAAAACCAAGCAGTTTCAATTGTTCTGAAATTCACAGGGCCAAAAAAGACCCTAAGTGAACCTTGTTCTTTAATATTGAAAACCACTACATTAGCGCAATGTACCAGACATCATCGATGTTTACCTTGCACTCATTCCCTGAAATAACGAGTGTCAGGCAGGTTAGTTTTTTTTCTTATAGTGCGGAATTATAGGATGAAAACCAGCCAGCTAAATTTTGTGCAAGTACTACTAGATTTACATCGGATTTGTTACTTGAGTTTTAAGAATAACTGATAGCAGAGAAAATAATCTGTTACTGATCAAAACTAAAATAAAAACTATTGTGTTTACTTCCTTTATTCTTTATGCATTCAACTTTCTATTCTATACAATTTCAAATACAGACATGTCAGTGTAATCTTTTTCTGTACTTCTACACTACTGCATCAGACCATTTGTGAAAGGCGGGTCAAGATACATTATTTCGCGCCAAAGGTCACGAGTAAATCTTCGCGCCTTTTCTTTGGAATGTGTCTTCAATTGAATAAGTGTACGTGATAGCTTCAATGAAATTTTTAAAAAATATGTTGCTATAGCCTGATTTTCGAGCCTAAGAATGTATATTTATCACACTGTACATATAACATATCGTATACGGGCAAATAACATAAGGGCTGCGCTAAGTTTTCTTACAGATTTTATATTTCTCTTTACCCCCACAGTGGATTATTCCAATTAGTAACACATTAATGAAAAGACTGGAATGTTTCGCAACAAAACACGTCTCGCCATATGACGCTCAAGGAGTCCGATACCTATTATGTTCAGTAACTTGCATCTATAAAGAAATATTACTCCACTAATATGAAAGAAAAATATTGAAAAACGTAAAAGTTGAAAAATTGACTTTTTTAATTCGCTTCCGGTAGCAACCGGAAGTACTCACGATGCACGATAAGGCAAACCCGCATATCTAGAAGTCATGATCTATGCTCTCCAACAATTCTCCAGTTCATATTTTTAGCCGTTCCTAAGTTCTCGCGTGGATAAAATTTCATTTCAAAATCAGAAAAATGGCCATAACTTGGAACCGGAAACGATTTTCTCCAAAATTCTTTCAAATGTAACTATAACATTTTATAGCACATTACACCTGAAAGTTTGATGAAAAACCATTGAATAGTTCTTGAGATATTGCGTGTACAAGATTTGTCTAAAAATTCTATTTTTAAAATATCTTCTGGTGTACAATTTTAAAAATAAATTAAATATTAAGCATTACGATAACAATCTCTATTACCACTATTAAAATAAAAAAAAAATATTGAAAAACGTAAAAGTTGAAAAAATTGACTTTTTAAATTCGCTTCCGGTAGCGACCGGAAGTACTCACGACGCACGAAAAGGCAAACCCGCATATCTAGAAATCATGTTCTATGCTCTCCAACAAGTCTCCAGTTCATATCTTTAGCCGTTCTTTAGATCTCGCGCGGATAAAATTTCATTTTAAAATCAGAAAAATGTCCATAACTTGGAACCGGAAGCGAATTTCTCCAAAACTCTTTCAAATGTAACAATGGCATTTTATAGCGCATTATCCCTGAAAGTTTGATGAAAATCCACTGAATAGTTCTCGAGATATTCCGTGCACAAAATTTGTCTAAAAAATAAGAATAATAATAATAATAAGAAACAGTAGAATCACTATAACGTCTTCCGTGAAGACGGGAGACCTTAATAAGAAACAGTAGAATCACTATAAGGTCTTCCGTGAAGACGGAAGACCTTAATAATAATAATAAGAAGAAACAGAGTAAAAACAATATGTTCCCAAACTTTGTTTGGGGAACATAAAAATATAGAATACAAATGGAAAATTTAACAATACAAATGGAAAATTATATAATACAAATGGAAAAGATCGAATATTGAAACGTTTGACATGCCATAAAGAAGAAGAATTAAATTTACTAAAACTGTATTCACCTCAATAACTAGCCATCAACTCACCATCTTGAATATCTTAACTATTGATAATGTTCAAATTATTTTAAAATACTTTCAAAAAGAAAATTCACAGGTCAAAGAATAAATATTACATTTCAGTTGCTCTTTCATTCAAATGATCATTTAGAATTTTTTTTTAAAATTAAGGTTTACAAGAAAAAATAATAATATTATTATTTGATGTATTTTTCTTTAAACACCCTTCCCTTCCAAATATTTTAAAACTTACATTATGTTTATCATATAAATAACAGTGCTTTTCTCAATTTTCCAAGCAGTGAAGCACCTTTGTCCCCTTTACAGATATGGTATGCTTACATATTAAAACAAATATATATGTGTATTCAAATTTTTGATACTGGACAGCTAAAAAAACAATTCAGAGAAAAATATCAGACCTGACAGAATCCAAGGCATACACCACAATATTTCATAAGGGGTCGCAGCACACCCGTATTGTATTGCAATCGGACACAGTGTTGCATGTCCACTGGTGTACATCATACATGCTGTGACTTTGTTCATGTTGTAAACATCTGTAAGTTGTATTCTTGATCCCTTTAAATAAGGCAGGGGATACCACACACTGCACATTGGAAGCACCATTACCTGTACATATTTATTGATCCCTGATTTTCTTGACCAGAACAAATAATAATCTTCTCTCTTTTCTATTAAAGCCAGCATGTTTAACAACCATCCATACTGAAATTTCTTAAATTGTAAGTCTGTGTTGGCACCATAGATCTGTGACTTAAGTAGACTGGGCATAGAATCTGAAGGGAACCTTATTCCTCTCAGCATCTTAATACATAGAAAGGATAGGCTTGGCACCTCCCTCAACACAACGATTTGCTTCCCCTGAATTTCAGCCACAACTTCTTGGATATCTTCCTCAATGCTAAGTCCACAGTTCATAAATGGCAGAATCTGATCAAAGTAGGTCAACTGATAACGTCTTTTACGCTTCTGCTTTTTACTTGGAGCTCGATATCGACTATTTGCCTGTGAAGGATAATTCACACAACTTGTGTCATTTTGTAAATTAACCCCATCCAGAGCTTCCTCCAAACTGCCTGTAGATTCTTCAGAATCTATTACTTCTTCAGCAGAGTAATACGAACTCTCTGAATCATATTCTTCTTCCTGTGCTGATGATGATGATGAAAACTCCTTGTCTTTTTCCTCGTTACCTTTACTTGCCTCAAGCTCTTTGATGGATTCTTGCTGCAGCTGCTTTTTCTTTCTGTGGGACTTTTTGGTTTCATTTTTAAACTCCCATGACACCATGCAGGCATACTTTGGCCTCTTCTTTGAATGTTCAATTAGATCTTGTAACAAATCTTCATTTTCATCCATTTTTGAATTTTAGACAATAATTCTAAAAGTATATTAAAGTAATCAGATTATCTCTCTTGATTTTTTTTATAATAAAGAAATAAGAATAAAGATTACGTATTGTTTGTTTTTAAACCCAGTAATTTAAGCACAAATCAAAGGGAAAATTATATTCTCTGTTGAAAAGTTGATGGCTCGTTAATACTCGCCTTCAAGGGATGAGCCATCTACATCTCAATAGAGAACAGGAAAATGATACAGATAATCGGATAAAATTGTTGGCTGAAAGCAGCTTGTTGCATTTTGAAAAATTATGGTGGCATATTTCTGCCCCTACATGCAAGATAAATTATGCTAACAAGCAACATAATTATGTAGACATGAGACTTATTTATGTCAACATCCAAAATAATTATGTTGACATGCAAGTTACCAGTCTCTTTCTAGAATTTAATGTTGGTAAATATACTTAAAAACGCCATTATATGACATCACACAAGCAAGATGCAACAGAGTTATGTTTATTTATGTCAACATGCAAGATAATTATGTAGACATGCAACTTATTCATGTCAACATGCAAGATAATTATGTTAACATGCAAGTTAATTATGTCAACATGCAAGATATGTATGTTGACATGCAACTTATTATCTTGCACGGTGACATTAATAAGTTGCATGTTGACATAAATAAGTCACGTTGATATAAATAAGTCACGTTGACATAAATAAGTCACATGTTGACATAAATAAGTTGCATGTTAAAATATAACTCGCATGTTGACATAAATAAGTTGCATGTTAACATAATTATCTTGCATGTCTTCATAATTATATTGCATGTTTACATAAATAAGTCGCATGTTAACATAATTATCTTGCATGTTAACATAATTATCTTGATGTTGACATAAATAAGTTGCATGTCAACATAATTCTGTTGCACCTTGCTTTTATGATGTCGTATACCGGCGTTTGTAAGTATGTTTACCAACATTAAAATTAGACTCTCTAAAAAGATTGATATCTTGCATGTCAACATAATTTTTATGCATGTAGACATATTCACATAATCTTGCATGTTGACAAATGTTAACATAATTTATCTTGCATGTAAGGGGCAGAAATGATCCATACCTGTCAACTCTCCCGAATTTTTCGGAAGTCTACCGATTTTTAACCATCCCTACCGATTGTCTACCGAATTTTTTTTAGACTGACGTTTCTACCGATTTTGAAAAAAATCCGGATTTTTTACCTACTTGGGTTCGTAAAATACCGACATGTCAACACAAAAATGGAGGTCATGCACTGTTTATCGGTAGCTAATCTGTTTATTGCCACTGATAACAGGTAATCAACAAGGTGTCAACTGTGCTACCAGATGTAATTGCAGTTGTAATTGCTCCTTATTCTCATTAAAAGTGTATATTATCAAAGACAGATATGCCAGATGTAAAAATTTTGCAAAAAAATGACGGTAAATAACGATATGGATACATGTACTTGATACTTTGCTGCAAATAAGTTTACAAGTACCCAAGACATTACAATTCCTCCATAAACAATACAGTGATCAGGAAAGATATAACTACAGTACTCTATTATTAATTTAACGAGGAGAGGGGAAAAATTTCATGGAAGCTAATAATGAAGAGTCTGAAGAGTTCCCCACAGATTTGAGATTCAATGTCTTAGTAAATCCTGCATCAACATCAGCATATAAAAGCCCCTGAAACTACAGAGCAGCATGACAGTGCCTTTAGAAAACTTCTTTGAATTTACATAGCTAAACAAGGTGATAAATTTCTAAATTAAAATATAGAATTAGCATATTAGAATATTACTACAATAAAGCATTAGATTTAAAAATTCTGATATATGTTATGAGATTAAAAGAAAAAACACAGGGTCTGAGAATCCATGTATTTCATTTATACTAGATTACATATTATTTTAAAGAATATAAGCATTAAGTTTTGACAATTATTTCAATTTCAGATCCTTAAATCCAGGACACAACTCTTGCTTCTTAGACTTAGTGAGAAAAATCCATTCATCCATCTATTAAAAGCTGGAAACTCAGACTGTTTGCAGAACCTTATTAATTTTTCTAATTGCCAAGTTAAACTTTGACATTTGCCATGAATATTATTCAAATGACACTCTTATGGACAGGCAGAATATACATTGAAGAACATGTATTTTTATAATTTCAAAAATCACATTGTACAAGTTTCTAAACAATGTATGAATAAAAAGTAAATTTTATGAATAAATGATAATAATAATATTAATAAAAAAGTTTTATCTTGTAAGTTGTTTATTTTTGTTTTATAATACAGTGAAATGCTTGACTTTTTGTATTTGTAAAAGGTCGTCACGCGTTCCCCCCCCCCCCCCCCCCCGAAAAATAAATTTTTGGCCATTTTGATAGGTATGGAAATATGCCACCATAAAAAAATAATTGAAAGAAAAAAAATAAAATCATCTTTCAAAAAGGAACAATATACCTAACAGGATTTCCTCTCAGTACAGTGAATATTCTCCAAACCAGCAAACCGATTTAATATAACTGTACAACCGGTTAATTTCACCCGATTGTGCAATCATCGCCTTATTTCTAGAGAACAACGATCCCGACCTCAAAACTGACTCACGTTACACATGTTTGCAATTAATAAGATTAAAATCAAGATCCTCGATTCGCTCCTATATTTTTTATTATTATTATTGTCGCTACACGATGCTTCGTTTAATCAGATTGCACATGTTTGATTTCATCGACAAGAGTTGAGCTCTGCGTTAAGTCTGATCAGGAACAAGATTAATTGTAAGCCATCTTTTTCTGTCAGTGAAATAGCCAAGTCATGACAGTTTTACAACAAAAAAATTACTGATAACAGTAATTTTTTCTTACTTGATAAAACTTTTAGGCCTAGTTTTCATTTACTGATCATTCCCTTACTTGGTAATACATTTCCAGTTTAAACTAGCAACAAAAGCATTTACTTCTAGTGATGTATAGAATTCATGTGAAGATCCAGAAGTTTCCCCAGGGCTGTCCACACCCATACGTGGATCAAGAAGAGAAGGGGGTCAGACACCGCATTTTCAGAATTTTTTTTCTCTAAAAGTAATGAAAAGATTATACCTTGGACTCCTCCTCGGAAATACGGACCCTTTTAAAATGGTAAGACGAGACTAATTTACCTTTTAAAGTTTTATTGGAGTTTATGTGGATTCCCTTCTTCATGGAGAAAAAATCTTGGATATGCACCTGGCTGACACTCACTTAAAAAAAATTCATCTTCAGTTGTTTACTTTGCTTTTAATTTCCAAAAAATAGTCTTTTTAAATTTTATTTTCTTATGGAAGTTTCCCCCTCATTATGTTGAACATTCCCACATATTTAGTAATAGTGTATGCAAAAATGTGGAAAAGGGTTGGAACCTAGATAGCCCCCCCCCCCCCTCTCCCCACCCGAGAAAGATTTTCTTATGTTTGAAAAATTATTTCTTTTAACTTGTCTTTTTTTCAGGCATAAAGGAATCGGATCCAAGCCCCTGAATTAAGAAGTTAGGTCTTAGGTACGAGTCTTTTGCAAGATGTTACGCACTTGATAGATATATGAAGGCAAAATTCATACAGTATTTGTTTAAAGGCGACTTCAGCTGGCATTTACGAAAGCCCATTGAGCTCATTTTCGTAAGTTAAAAACAAAAATTCGCGTTATAACGCGTAACTTTCGCGAATAAACGCGTAACTTTCACTTTAACGCGAAACTTTCCCTGTAAAACAGAGACTTTTGCAGAAGTCTCCATTTTCTTTTAATTTCATAATCTAGTTTATTCTTATTTATTAAATTACAATGAAAAACGAAAGACTATTTTAAACTTGGACTATCACAAGCTGATTTTTTTTTTCGCCATTGAATGTGTCTATATCCTCTTTCTAAATCTTTTTTTCCCGGCACATTTTGTCTTTCTCAACGCACTTCAAACATTTTCAAAGTCTATGCAAGTTTTTCCAAAGCGAAACTTTATAATTATGAATTTCTGGAAAATGATCCCCCATTCCGGCGTTATTTTTAACACTGACTCTCTATAGAATTTGAATAAATTTAAGATCTCAGAAAATTGACAAAAATGAGGTAAATTCGTATATTTTGCGGAACAATTGTGTCACATCACATAAGTAACCTAATGTGAAAATTGGATGACAAATATTCATATCAAATGATTTGTCTCCGATAGACTCACTGTAGAAATATAACATCGTATTTTAAGGTTGCGAACACATAGACAATGACGACTATATATATATATATATATATATATATATATATATATATATATATATATATATATATATATATATATATATATATATATATATATATATATGTACATATATATATATATATATATAATTTATAACATCATCTTTTCCGTCTAAACAAAAAAAAGATAGATATATATATATATATATATATATATATATATATATATATATATATATATATATATATATATATATATATATATATATATATATATATATATATATATATATATATATATATCTTTTTTTTGTTTAGACGGAAAAGATGATGTTAAATATGTACAAACTCTTTGCTGTATACCTTAAGCAGTTTTAATTTATAGCGTTAATCCACGTATTTTTTAATAACCCCTCGTATACAAAAATTATGAAGGAAAATCAAGAAAAGTAATCCCCTCTTCCCCCATAAATTTGTGATTAACAGTATCCTATTATAATTCTTTAAAAAGCATCATATGGCACGTTAAGCTCATGAAAAGATACATTGTTCCCTCACTCTTAAGCCAGATTTCTACAGTGAATAATTTATAGTCCAAAAAGATGGATTTCTTTACTAGTGGTAAAGATGTAGTGAACTTTAATGATTAAAAAAAAAAAACAGCCTTGAAAAAGAAAGTGACGAGTGGAGATCTTCTATGAAAAAAACAAATCAGTCTAAAGAATTTCTTGGATTCAACAAGTGAAAAACAAGAAAATCGTTAAAGGAATATTCATTTTATTAATCACATGTAGTAGGGTTTTGAGATTAAATGCAGATTTCTCAAGACTAATCTATCCATTTCTCGCATCAATTCTCTTTTACATCTTCTGAATGAAATATGGAGATAACGAAGTATTCAAGCTCAAAGTCCATTAAAACAATACAAATCGGGAGCAGAGCAAACAGGGACCTCCAAAAACATCAGAGGTGGGATCAGGTGCCATGGAGGAGTGAGCATACCCTGCCAACCGGTCACACCCGCCATGTGCTCCTTGTCATGATTGGTAAATAACGGAAAAAGAAATGTCATTTATAAATTCATAGAAGTCTCTGTTTACGTTCATGTTTCTTATCTGTCAGTCAAGATCACAGGTTCCTGAGTAACGTGACTACATATGTAAAACTTCGCATTATAACGCGAAAGTTTCGCGAAAGTTACGGGTTATAACGCGAAAGTTACGCGTTTATTCGCGAAATTTTCACACTATAACCACCCCTACTAATGTTATTGTGATTTAAATTCAAGACACGTGGTGTAGGTTGACCAATTCTAAGGTTAGAGGGTAGAACCGGTTTCAAAAATAAAATTGGAAGTAAACAGGAAATTGCTATAATCTGTTTCTTTTAAAAACATATGTCCTATAAAAATGTGTCTCCAGAATTTTCTGAAAGATTTTTAAGATTTTAAACAGAAATGAGTGGGATTTAAAAAAAAAAAAATCACAATCTACTTAATTAATCTTCGCTTTTTGATAATTTACGGAGTTATACGGGTAATGTCGCGTGTAAAGGACTTAGTGTGAGCTTATCTCACTAAACAAGTACTGCTAAGCAGTATTGAAAAGCGTCTTTGATTGGTCTACAAAGTCATCGCTGCTTAGTTTGAGTCTCAAAATATTCACTCATCAGTCAAACGGGAAAGTTTATATTTTTTTCACTGTTTTGCCTAATAATAAAAATTGACCAAGTATGTTTTAATTAGACAGTACATCAAGCATTACAATGCAATGTATTGTAGGACAATTATTTTTATTTAAAGGCAAAATTAATTAGCTTGCAATTAAAGAACTTCACTCAACACTCCAATTTTCCTCGGGATGTTTCGCATATATCCATATCAGTCTTTTAATAAAACAAAAATCAGCAAAAGTAACTGTTCTTTGATGAGAACTTAATTCTAAGTACTGTTATCAGAATATATTCTGTTTATCCTTCCTGGTGCTTATCTGCATCACTCTCAAAATTTACACTCATCAGTCAAACACGAGATTTCTCTCTTTTTCAATCTTTCAGATACCCAAACTAGGCGTTGCATAAAATAATAAACAGCAATGAAAAAAATTGTTGAAAAAATCCTTCGACATTATTACTGCATTGTTAATTTAGATTCATATGAAAGAGAACAATCATATAAGAAAATGTGAATGAAAATATTCCATCCAGTCTGTTTTTCAAAACTTTTTTAACAATAAAAATTTATTAGAAAATATGTTAATTTACACCTTATTTTCAATATCATAACGTATTTAACAAAAATGGACTTCATTTTATTAATTGACATTGCATTGTAGTGTAGTGCAATAAAATGCAGTTAAATTCTTATCATGGTAAACAGTATAAATTCCCTTGCAAACAAAAAAAAAAAAATCCACTCATCAGTCAAAAAGGAGTGTTCATTTCTTTTGGGTCTTATGCGCATAATCAAACTAGTCATTCGATAAAAAAAAAAAAACATTAACACGTAACTTTGCGAAAGTCCTTTGACTTAATTACTAATTGTTAATTTTGATTCATATCAAAGAAAACAAATATTTAAGAATATGAGAATAAAAGAAATGCTCTCTAGTCTGTTTTTGAAACCTTTTTTTCAAAGCATAAAATGAAAAAAGTGTGTATATTCAATCAGTTTATAAATTCAATTAAGAAAAAAAATGACTAAGTTAATTTTGACTGGACAATTTGGCAGGCATCACAATGTATTGCATTGTATTGCAACAGAGTGCAGAATGGTGCAATTCTAATTGTATTATAACAAGCACAATTATTTTACTTGTTAATGTATTAGAAATATACCCCACCATCCACCCTCCAAAAACAGCTTTTATATACAATCTGTCCTTGTGATTGAATGTTTATTTGGAAATTTTCATAATGTAAGTTTTGTTTCAAAGTTCGATAAGTCAAATTATGTCCCTTTGAACAACGTAGAAAAAACGATCATTGATTTCTGCTTTATATTATGTAAATGTTTAAACAATGCTAACGAGTAA